ATGAGGTTTCTGCCTAGTCTATAAACCTTAACCTCTTTTATTTCTTAATCCTAAGCCATGTTTTCCAGTACCGTTCATTATGTCTACCTATCCTTAGAAGTCACCGAGTATTAAAACATATGTTTGATTTAATTAGTTGGGGCTTAGTAAGTTCTTCCAAAATATCTCTACCATCTCGTCTTCTCAGTATTGGCACATAAACTGCAATTCTTGTGTGTGGGTATGTGTATCTGTGTGTCTGTGTGTATGTACATGTATACTTTATGGTTCCCATAAAATAAAATTTCTTTTTGCTTTTGGACACATAATAAAATTATTACTGTCTACTCATTTATTTGCCTCTGTAACAATAACCTGTTAGTCATCCTTTCGTGTGTAGCTATGAACTCCTTTTTATCTTCTGGTTCAATTGAGAATAAGAATATCAATGTAGATATGATTCAATTATGTTGGCTCTGTCATTGGATAAAGATCTCACATGTAGAGAACCAACAGTTAAATTCATAATTATAGACAGTCTAAAAATGATGGTTTCTTAGTGTACTCTATAGCCTTTTCTGCCTTTGTGCCACCATCACTGAACAAACAAAAGGAGTTTGAAATAGGGCTTTTTCTTTGTTCCATGAATTGCTATGGGTGAAGAATCCATCACTTTAGTGGCCAGCCTACTGGGCAGTACCTCAGTGCCTCAGTAGTGGATTATTTTCATAAAATGCACAGTTATAAATTGTTCATCATCTGTTGGCCACACCCTTTCATTGTTGCCTGTACGTATCATTCCATCACCCTTCTCCATGCTTTTAGCTAGATGGCACTCTCAGGTCTTGAATGCACTCCTCCTTCATCCTTATCTAACAGTCCTTAACATCCTCCAGGCGCCATCTTCTACTCCAAGGTTTTCCTAATTTCACCGGTTGTTAGTGTTTTCTCCCTCTTGAAAATATTTTGTATTTGTTTATCTCTGTTGCTTCTAACAGAGCTATCATGGGTCTATGGTTGAATACATTCACTTGTAGGTCACCCATTACCCTTCAACTTGCCCCACTGCCATATTCATTCTAATCCTCAGTTCTAGGGTAACTCCCCAGGGGTCAATTTGGATATTTTGTTAACAAAATTGGAATAGCCTCCTCAGTCAGTTAGCTTAGAGCCCCCATCTCAATTTGTAATCAATTATTTAATAAATTATAGAAATCTTTTTTCTTATAAGGAGCTGCTAATATCTCTATAACAAAACTCCTAATATCCTAGGAATAGCTCAGTATTAAAGTTACTGGCTATGTAATTTATTAATAATGTAATCAATAATAACTCAAAAATATAAACATTTACAATATTTTAGGTATCAGAAAGACCACAGGGTAACCTCTAGCCATCATCATATTACTTCTCCTTACTTTTGGAAACACAGTTCCACCATTCAGTCCATTCAAGGAACAAAGCAGAGTTTCTTATCACAAATTTTCATCATCCTCTTTATAAACTAAAAGTTAAAAACTTCCATCAGGAAAGAGGGTAACTTCATCTTTTCTTTCTCCTCCATCTTCTTTACACCTATGACAGGAAAAGATTCTTAAGTTTTTCTCAAGTTGTTACTCTTAATCTCTTTCCTAACCGTTCATAAAATTCTTCATAAAATAACAGTTGAGACCGTTCTCGCAAAAAAGTTTTTCCTCACCCTCTTTCTCTCTATCTCCTCTATAATTTCTTCCAAATGATCTCCATTGACTGTTCTCTTAGTTTCTTAAAAACTGTCATGACAAAACTTCCATAGAATGACAATTAAAACCTTTACTCTCAAGAAATCCAAGCTATTAATAGCCATATGAAAAAAATGCTCAAAATCAGTAATATTAACAGAAATGCAAATTAAAACAACTCTGAGGTACCACCTCACACCCATCAAATTGGCTAAGGTAACAAAAAACGGAAAATGATGAATGCTGGAGGGGCTTTAGGGAAACAGGTACGCTAATGCACTGTTGGTGGAGCTGTAAACCAGTCTAACCATTCAGGAAAGCAATTTGGAGCTATGCCCAAAGGGCTATAAAACTGTGTCTATACCCTTTGATCCAGCAATACTGCTGCTAAGTCTGTGTTCCAAGGAAATTAAAGGCGAAGGAAGAGAGCCTGTGTGTTCAAAAATATTTGTTTGTAGCAGCTCTTTTTGTGGTAGCAAAGAATTAGAAATTGAGGGGATGCCCATCATTTGAGGAATGGCTGAACAAGTTATGGTATTATAAATGTGATGGAATGTTACTGTGTTGTAATAAGTGATGAATAGGATGGTTTCAGAAAAACTTATGTGAAATGATACCAAGTGAAGTGAGGAGAACCAGAAGAATATTTTATATAATGACAGTAATACCATAAAGGTAATCAACTTTGAATTTGAGTGGATCAGCACAATGACCTACCACGGCTTCAAAAGACTCATGATGAAACATGCTGTCCACCTTCAAAAAAATTTGGTGGATTCAGGGTGCAAAATGAAATATATTTTTTTCTCCTTTTTTTGGTGGGGGAGAGATGAGAGGGCATGAATGTTATGGGAATTTTGTTTTTTGGGATTTATTTTGCACGACACATACTCATAATTTTTTCCCCTTGCTTTCTAATAGGTGAGGGAAGAGAAGTGAGAGAATTCAAAATTTGAAAATTAAAAAAAAAAAGAAAAGAAACTCTGGAGGAAAATAACTTATTTTACAAGCTTCCCTGACTCTTAAAAAAACAGCAATAGTAACTGTAGTCTCTTTGAAAAGCCTTTTGAAACAAGTTCTGTCCCTCTTGAAACTATTTTATATTTACTCAGTTTACATACTCAAATAGATCTGTGGTCTCATTATTTGGGACTTCTGTCCAGTTATTCAGAATGAAAATCCATCAATCCCTGCCCATCTTTTTTTTTCCCCACTCTTTTTTTTTTATTAATTTATTTTTAGTTTTCAACAATCACTCCCATATGCATTTGAGTTTTAAATTTTTCTCCCTCTTCCTCTCTGCCTCCCTCCCCAAGATGGCATGCAGTCTGTTACAGGCTCTACATATCCATTCCTATTAAATGTACTTCACATTAGTCATATGTAAGGAAGAATTAGAACCAACAGGAGGAACTACAAAAAAGAGGAAACAAAACAAAACAGAAGAAGGAAAAAAAAGAGCAAATAGTATGCTTCGATCTGCATTCAAACTCCATAGTTCTTTCTCTGGATATGGATAGCATTTTCCATCATGAGACTTTTGGAGATCCTTGCATTGCTAGGAAGGACTAAGTCTGTCAAAGTTTGTCATGACACAACATGGGTGTTACTATGTACCATGTTCTCCTGGTTCTGCTCACTTCACTCAGCATCAGTCCATACAAGTCTTTCCCAGTTTTTCTGAAGTCTGCCTGCTCATCATTTCTTGTAGCACAATGATATTCCATCGCATTCATATACCACAACTTGTTCAGCCAATCCCAATTGATGGGCATCCCCTCAATTTCCCCTTCTTTGCCACCACAAAAAGAGCTGCTATAAATATTTTTGTGCATGTGGGTCCTTTTCCCATTTGTATGATCTCTTTGGGATACAGCCCTGGAAGTCCTGCCCATCTTTTGCTACTCTGATCCACATCCTGTCATATGTTTGTCGCAGAGAGAGTCCACCCACTTTCTCCTGACATTGTAAAAGTACCAATAGAGCATTTTGATCATCCATCTGTCTTCCATTTCTCTCACCACATAAACAGCTTATCTTTTCTTTCTCTAATATAAGTCCTTGATAACATCCCTTACTCCTGTTGTGTTAAGGAGTTCTTTATTGGTTAAATTTTGTAGCCAGCTCAAACTTATGCTGTAGTCCTCTCCCCTGTCTTCTGTGTGATGGCCATCTTTAGTATTTTAAAAATTACACCTTTTGTTTTCTCCAACAGAATAAATTCTTAAGGATAAAGACTAGTTTTTGGTTGGGGGTGAGGAGGAGGAGTTGGTCTATGTCTCCTGTACCCACCACAGTGTCTTACACATAAATGCTTAAGAAATGGTTATTGAATTGAACCCTTTGAAATTTCATCCTAATTTTTTATATTATGCTTTGAATTACCAAGAAAGGAATGCAGCATTCCTCAGTTGCCACTGCACTCTTACCTCTCTTCACCTTCAAGTCATCTGGCTAAAGAAGTAATTTATTCTCCCCTTTAATTAAAATATCCCTTTTGATGCCCTTGGCTTTTTTCATTATCTGTCATAAAAATATCAGTGAACCAACACCCCAAAAAGTGTGCTCATTATCTCACTAGTTGGGTTATCAAGTTTACATTTCAGATTTTTAGTAGCTTTTTCATACTGTCACAAGAAGTTGTGTATTGTATAGTTTTTTTTAATAGAACATCTGCATTATAGTTATAGCTATATTTCATATATTATTAGCTTTTGTAGACTTTTTCAGAAAGTAGGATTTTTAACCCAAAATCTTTGGGCTGGCACTTTTAACAGAATAAACTTAAAAACGCACTATTAGATTCACAGGCTGTTCCAAAGCAACCTATTTTCAGTCAATCTTTAGTGTATTTGAATACAAATGTTGCTTTATGATTTCACTGCCATATGTTCTGAGGGAAGATGGGTTGGGGAGAGAGCAGTTCCATAAATGAGTCCTTGTGGGGGAAGAGAAGCTGAGCCACCTTGCAAATAGCTTTGTGCCCACATGCCTGAGGCCATTGACAGTTTAGGGTGGACCAGTAGCAAAGAATGTTCCTTTTATGGCGTTTATTACCTGCATAGGAAAGGTGGTAAGGGGGCAGGGCACAAGTTGGATTATGCATGTAAACATAAAAAACAAAACTATCAGCTTTTGCTTACTTGATCCTCAGCTTAAGAAAATCAAAAAAAGAAAGTATATACTTTAAGACAACAGCCTATTTATTTTTCTAAATCAAGAGAATAAAGTCTTCATAAAAACTGGTATCCAGATGGTCAATTCAGACATACTGTGTAATGCTATAATTTTTCCTTCTAGTTAAAAGGCTAGCCACTGAGAACCTGGACTCCATTGTAAAAGCCTGCCAAGCAGGGTCAGGAGGAGAGCCTACCACCCAGCTGACTTCTGTGTTTAGGTAACTGGAAAATATGCCAACTGGCAAGGAAACTATTGCAAGCCATTTGACAGCCAACATGTTTTTTAAATAACTAATTATCCCAAACATAATGTGTTACTATTTGTTTATAGTATTTCAATTGTTGTCTTCTTGGCAGTTTTATTACTCTGTATTTTTGTTTTAAAGTCATCTGGGAAAAGGTGCCTGAACTGACTTTAGATTACCTGTGGTTTTTGTAGAGAAGAGATGCTGACATGGGTTAGGAGGGAGCTGGGGGTGGGGGGTGCTGCATTCATGATGACAGGTGCACAGACTTTAGGAGCTTTGTAAATAGGACCCTCAGGATCAAAAATAGGAATCTCTGGAATTCTCTTTACCGTACCTACTTTAATGGGAGCACACAGCAAACTCCATTTTTCTTTCCTTCCCAATCTGTTGGACACAGGTTAAGATAATTTATACTTTTTTTAAAAGCTTGATGTTTTTTGTTTTTTGCATTGCTGTCATTTCCAAATATATACCTCTTCCCCTCTTTCTCCACCCCATTGAGCCTTCTCTTGTAACAAGGACAGTGAAGAAAAACAGCCAACCTTATCACCTGCATCTGACAGCATATGTAACATTTCACACCCAGGTGTAGGAGGGAGATACATTTTTTCATCTGGTTTGGTGATTAAGATTGGTGATTATAATTATCTGGGGTTCAGTTCTACCATACCTTTTGTATTTATGTTACTTTTCAGTTTACAAAATGCTGTCTTCTCAACAACCCTATAAGCTAGGCCATGCAAATATCATCTCCCTTGTACAGATGATGAAACTGAGGTAAAGGCAAGTTGCAGTTTATCTACTGTGCCATAGCTATTAACTGTCAGAATTAGCATTCAAACACCGATTTCTTCATCCCAAATCCAATACTTTTTTTTTCCCTTACTCTACCCCCTGAGTTCATATCTTTGTAATGAATTAAAATGAATTCAAGAGTATGATACTACTGCTTCACCACTTTCTTCTCAGATAGTTTCTCATTTCTTTTGCCCAGTGGTCTGCTCTGGATTTAACTTGATTACCGCTAGAACTGTAACAAACTAAAAATGTAGAATTTCTGGAAAATGTGAAGCAGGAGAAGGGGGAGTTAAAAAACAAACAAACAAACAAATGTATATTGCTTGTGTGCATGGTACCATGTTGGATAATTTGTTTTGTTTTGAGAAGAGAATGAAAATTGGGCGTGGGGATAGAATCATATATTTATTGTTGTTGGTGTTATTATTATTATTATGTTTTTGACATAGTCTTTAATCATAAACATGAAGGCCCAGGAGAAAAATTTCAAAGCTGATTTTTCCCCCTCCTCCCCATACCATTCATTTGGGGGAAAGGGAACAGGAAATAATAGGAATTTTTAAGGGTCAGTGGAAAATTTTTTCCCTTCTAATTCTCAACTATACTAGAATAAGGCATTTTTTTATTTTGCAGCTCCCATATATACAATTGCACTTCAATGAGGATAAAAATAATCTGTACTTCTCTTAAAGAGCTATATTTCTAGTAAAATTCTTAGAATCTCCATCTAGAAGTGATCTTCCTAATGTTCAGATTACAGTGCATTGGCAAGCAGAAACTGGACTGAAGAATAGCACCAGAGATAATCCTAAGTGTTCTGTTTTCTTTATAGACAGTTTGTCCAAGATTATGGTATGATATATGAGCAACAAGTCTATAACATCTTAGAAACTGTGGCAGAATTAGACCAACAGATTGTTACCAGTTTGATTCCCACACTCACTCAGTGCCTAAAGGACTCTGAGCTTAAACAAGGCCTTGGAAGAAATATTGCAAAAAGGTATGTTTTATAATTTTATTTTTGTCTTTGGGACAATGATAATAAAAGACACATTCATTTTGGAGGAAACAAGTTTCTAGAGTATAAATTTGTCCAGTAGTGCTTATAAATTGTTATGTTGAACAGAATCTTTTGAGTTATGAAAGTTTTATCAATTTAAGCATGCTTAAAGCAGTGAGCTTTATTTTTTTTTAACATAACTACCAAAAATTAGACTTCCAAATGAGTGTCATCTGTTTCAAAGTGAGTACATTTGGAAACTACACACTTATTATGTGATGCTACTGTTACTTAGAACATCTTTGGAAGTCCTTTTTTGGAATTACCTTTAGAGCCTATAGTGTTACATTCTTGTACAGTATCTAGCCACATCAATGGCAAATCAGTGTCCTTTGAGGTCAGATTTGAGTTTTACATAACCAGGTCATTTGACATGAAGTCCAGAGGGTCAGTGACTAAGTTGTCTCCTGGAAAAGGTGGAGTGCAGGAGTCAGCAATAAGATTAGCTTTCTTACTTACCTGCCTAGCTGCCTCTGAAGGTAGACTGTCAATGTTTTGAGTATTTGTTCACAGAGCATTAGCCATACATGGCTAGCTGCCTACATTGACTGCTTTGAAAAGCTTATCAGTGTCTTTGCATTAGAGTTGAAAGAAGGCTTAAAGGTCATCTATTCCAAACCTTCCCTCACATAAACCCACACAATTTTATCAATGAGGACACTAAGTCTGAGGGAGGTTAAGTGATTTGCCCATGGTCATACAAGTAGCAAGTTAAAGAGCTGAAATTAGAACCCAGGCCCTCTGACTCTGCACCTGGTGCACATATGTATTCATCCAAATGTTTGTTTTTAAAAAATGTCACCTTGTTGTAGTTATAGCAGCTGTGTTGTACACACATACAAGCATATCCGTAACAATTTTAACTCAAAATAACTTTGGCCTTTTGAACATCACCATTGAATTTGTTCTTAACAATGTTAAATAACAACAATATATTTAATTGGATCATGTTGCAATAGAAAAGGCAGTATATCCTAGAATCTAGTGAATTGGTTTGAAACCTTCACCTCCAATTGCTGGCTTCCCTGGCTTCCTTCAAGTCTCAGCTGAAATATACAATCACACCCTTCACTCCTACTAATAATGCCTTCCCTCTAAGATTGTGTTCCATTTACACTGTGTATAGGGCAGCTGTGTGGCACAGTGGATAAGAGCAGTGGGACTGAAGTCAGGAAGAGCTGAGCTCAAATCCAGCTTCAGATGCTTACTAGCTGTGTAACCCTGAGCAAGTCATTTAACCCTATTTGCCTCAGTTTCCTCATCTAATGAGCTAGAGAAAAAAATTGGCAAACAACTCCAGTCAGTATCTTTGCCAAGAAAACCCGAAATGTGATCACAAAGAGTTGGACATGACTGAAAAAACTGAACAATAATACACTGTGTCTATCTTGTATGTACTTAGCTATTTGCATGTTTATCTTCTTTATTAGAATATGAGTTCCTTGAGGTCAGAGACATTGTTTTTACCTTTCTTTGTATCTCCAGTGTCTGGCCCTTAAACTTTTTGTTGAGTCATTTTAGTTGTGTCTGACTCTTCATGACCCCGTTTTTGGGTTTTCTTGACAAAGATACTGGAATAGTTTGCCAATAAAGGTTTGTTACCTGCCTCTGCTACTTGGCTCTCAGTGTCCTTTTGGGCAAGCCATTTAAGTCATTTAACTGAAGTCATTAGGCCTCAATTTCCTTGTCTTTTAAATCTGTTAACTTAGGAGGTTGGACTAGGTGATTTCTAAGTACCCTTCCAACCCAAGATCTGTGATTCCATGATTCTAATTTTACATGCTAATTTGTAATTCAAACTTTATGAAGGAATTTTATAAGCCAAATGAAAAATCTGTTAAGTAGTTACTCTGTCTTTAATTGTTTAATTTTTTTTTAAGTAAAGTTAGAGGTGAAAGAAAGTATTGCTTATTTAAAAGCTTCTTTCAGGAGGAATTGCCCTATAATATAGCAGCAATAACTATGTGTTCACTGGAGCATTTGAAATAAATCTTATTCCTGGAATGATCTTTTAAAAACATTTATAAACTAGTGAAGTTTTCTTATCTAAGATAGTAGAGAAGAACATGAAGTGTATATATATTTAAAGACCATTATAAAAATCCTCCAGTTTATCCTCCCTTTACTATTTATGCTTGTTATATCAAAAATTTGTCATTTGATTTTCATACCTTTATTATCCACTTAATAAGAATTAAATAATGAATGCCATTACCTATTTAAATCCCCTGACTCTTCAATGCCATATTATTTAAGTAGATTAATGAAATTTTACAGGCCATTTTGTAACTCGGATTTCATTAAGGGCCACTCTTAGCCAAACCAAAGTGCCTTCTATAGTTCTACTGGCCTTAATTATAACAAAACAGTAAATACGGATTTGAAAGGAGTCATTGTTTTTTCTGTACCTGTTGCTTATACTTTATTTTTCATAGGGTCTCAGTTTGTAGGTACTCTTTAATTAGAATAGGAAGGTGCATAATATATTTTGTTCATTTTTGTTTTTAACAGGGAAGCCTATAGTCGACTTTTATCCTTCCTAGGACAACCAGGTCAAGAGGAGAGGCTGAAACTGGAAAATGAAAACACTTAGTTTGTTTTTTATGTGACCTGCACTTGTCTTTGGGGACTTCAACATATTGTTGCTACTTAAAGCCACAATATATCATTTGCACTTTCCAAACTCCTACTTTTATGAGCTGGATAATCTTCTAAATGATGTGTTAAAAATAAAAATCTGTTTTCTAGGATTTTTTTCATATAACTCTACATTTCCATAAAGCACATCACTGAGGATGTGGGAATTGGTTCACTAGGTAAAGCTTTCAGTAAGTTCTTTGAAGAGTTTTCAGGTAAGGGGAATGAAATAGAGCCATTTTCTAATAGAGACTATTTTGCACCCCTCATGAAATTACAGATACACTGCTACATCGAAGGCAATCAAGCAACAAGCATTTATTAAACTTGCCGTATGCCAGGGTAGGTGGGCAGGTGATCATTTTTGGTTCGCTATAGAACATGTCTCACAAAAATAATTCAAAGTTTGAGGGTGATTTTTGTTGGAATTGTTTTTTAACTTGTGTTTAGGTATGCTAATTATTGAGAAATTTCAGGCTACCTTGCCCTGCCTTTTAGTGCCAACAATAGAGGTCTTTTTTTTCTCCTGTCAAGGTTATCAAGTACAACTAATTTTCAGCTAGAAAGAGAAGATAGCTGTATAAAATTAAATGAATAGATAATCCTTATTTGTTAAGATAAAACCTTTTTGCCTTTCATTTCAGCCCTCATCCCTCTGAATTCCATAGCCAGTCCCTTTTTATTGGTCATGATCAACCAATCAACACACATTGATTAAGTGCCCAATGTGACCAAGAAACCAGGCAACAGCTTTGGAAGAGGGGGAGAAACTAGGACCAGGGCTCATCCATAATCTGCATACTCAGACCTGAATAATCAAGAATTGCAGATAGCAGGGCAGCTAGGTGGCGCAGTGGATAGAGCACCGGCCCTGGAGTCAGGAGGACCTGAGTTCAAATCCAGCCTCAGACACATAATACTTCCTAGCTGTGTGACTGGGCAAGTCACTTAACCCCAATTGCCTCACTAAAAAAAAAAAAAAAAAGAAAAGAAAAAGAAAGAAAGGAAAAAGAATTGCAGATAGCATGTTTGAGAAAATCTAGTTATTTTAAGATTAGCACACTGGAAGGGATTTGAGAAATTGTCTCTGGGGTCTTTATTCAGGTTCACACTAAAAGAGTCTCATACAAGTCTTCAGGGAGTATATTTGTTTCCTCAGCAACTAGTATTACTATATTCTCACAGTATTATCGAAATCTGTAATATCACCATTTGTCTTTTTATTTATGGAACTCCAGCTTATATAGCCACCCTGCCCCACGTGGAGACTTTGGTTATTGTTATTTTATTTAAGAAATGGAATAGAATCTTGATGGGGGCAGGGGAGGGGGATGACAGTCAACTGTCATGACTGAAGGAGAATGTGTTCTCACTTGAGAACTCACTGAGAGGATTAAGAGAAATTTTTTTTTTCCTGAGGAGACTCAGACAGTAACTATTATCTTCTGGGAGATGCAACTGAATGAATTAACTGCCTACTTTTAGAAGAGTCCATGAGAGAGATATTTAAACTGCCATCCTGACCAAACTGAATCATCGGACCAAGGAGTCAACAGTTGTGGCCAATAGTTGAGTCTGGTTTTGACCTTGCTTACATAAATTGCTGAAATATTCATTTATATTTTTGTATTATGGATTACTGTTAATAAATTATGTGGCTAGTAATTGATGTTTATCTATGGTTTATGAGACCAGGGTTCAAGGAAGGAGAGAATATTTATGGGAAAATAGGTTTTTCCAGTTTTTATATACCAGTGTGGGGGCTCAGAGCTACTTGATTAGTGAAATAGTTTCTATATCCATGGGAATTCATGAGGCAGAATCAGAATGTAACTTCTTTGTCTTTGAACTGGACATAAGAAATTAGTACAATAACAAATCAGATACTAGGCTGAGGGGTGGGTTTATGTTTTTCCCTGAGAGCTATTGAGAGGTGTTGCTCTTACAACATAAACCTTTTTCTGTGGGGTTGCTATAGGTTGGTCTAATAAAACTTATCACAAGAATGGTCTTATTCCTGTTACATCTGGGGTATAACATGAAGCCTGTCATATTTATTCAATCCTCATTGGAGATAAGGTAACATGCATTGTATACTAATAACAAGAATAATTATAGCTAGCATTCATATTATGCTATCTGACTTGATATTTAAATGGCCTGCTGAAATCAATGTTATTATCATCCACATTTTACTGATACAGAAACCAGGGTTGAGAGAAGTTAAGTGACTTGGTCATTGTCACATAGATAGTAAATGTCTGGGGAAGAATTTGAATTCAGGTCATCTTGCGTCCATATCCTGCATTCTGTCTACTACATTACATAACCATCTAATCAGCTATTGGTCTGGATTGAATGATCCCCATGAGTTTCCCTTTTTTTTTTTATTTTGTCATAGGTTTTATTTGGTAATTCCATAATAACTTGTTTTATCCCCAGAGTCTGTAATCTTATCATGGATCTAGTGCTTGACCAAGGAAAATACTTTATCTGTAAATTACAATTTGAGATTCTTGGACTAAAAATTCTGTATTAGTTATAGGACAACAAATCAGCCTATGGGCTTTTTTTTTTCTGTTTGGAAGGGGGGGAAGATCTAATATTTTAGAATATTAAGTGGGTGGTATTGTTTGAAATATTTCATGCCTAAGAAGAAACCCTAACAATAAAGTTTATCCAGAGCAGCAAGCTAGTAATACCCTGGACCTCTATACATATGTGTGTATATACACACACATACACTCTCACTCTCTCTCACTTTTATGGTTCACCAAGTCCAAAGAAGCATCTATACTGTTGTAAGCTGCTGTCATTACTTTAGCTAATGTAATTAAAGCATCTTTGTGCTCTTTAATAGGTTAGAGTGTGCAACTTTTTTTTTCCATTACAAAAGTGACTTATTGAACCTGGGTTGTACTGTAAGCTGAGTTTCAACACCTGAGAGGATTTCAGGTCATTTGAGGAGGTTTGTCCTTAAAAGGTTTACAGGAATGGCATCTTTGGTTTGAGGATCTTGCTGCGGAAAAAGTAACATTATGAATTTAAGGGATGTAAAAAGTTGTTATTGAATCTCTATTTTGTGTATTTTAGTCTGTTTCTTTTCTTTTACATGGATCTGTATGTGAATATATGTATATAGGTATTCCTGAAATATACCATTATTTTGATACTCTGATCTTTGAGTTTCTCTTTTTGAACCTATCCTCCACCACTGAAACTGCAGCCCCTCCCTGCCTTGGAGGATAGTCGTGAGTAGCTGTGGCAGCATAAATGTATGATCTGGTGGCTAACTTTCTGGCAATAAGCCCTCCTCATAAAGTTAGGCCAGTCTTCAGACAGGCAATACAGAATATCTAACCAGACCCACATTCAAAAAGACTTTTTATTTTGTAGGTGAGATCTACAAGAACTTGTGCCTCCACCTTATGTTTTGGGAACAAAAGGTTATGTAGCCACACTATGATGAAATATTAAAGTATCTCTTTATATTAAAACCATAGATGTCTGTGCATGTACATTGTAGCAAATGCTTGTAGCTAGGAAAATTGGTACCATATTGAATCAGTTCCACTATCTTTTCAAATATCACCAGGCTACCCCTACCCTTCTTGAAAAAAACTTGATTGTATCCTAGCTATATTTTATAGGATCATAGAATTTGAGAGTTGGCAGAGACCTAAACAGCCATCTAGTCCAGCCTTAGGTATATAACCTAAGGAATTTTCACTATAGCATACCCAATAAGCAATTACCCATCCTTTCCCGGAAGACCTCTTAGGAGTGGGGACCTACCACCTCACAAGGCAAGCCATTCAACTTTTGGATGGCTCTAGTTGTGGGAAAGTTTTTCTAGACATCAGCCTCATTGGCTTCAGCTTGCACCCATTTCCTGATTCTGATGCCAAACAGAACAAATCCAGTCCTTCTTCCAAATGACAACCCTTCAAACCCTTGATGACAGCTATTATATCCCCCAAATCTCTTCTCTCTTCCAGGACCAGTTCCTTCCACCAATTCTCAGTAAGTTGGTCAAAAAGTTCCTACTGTATGCCAGGCCTATGGGGGATAAGAAGGCAATAAGAAGCCTGGAACAGGCTTCTTTTAGTAGGTGGGACTTCAGTTGAGACTTGAAGGAAGCTAAGGAAGCTAGCAGGCGGAGAGGGAGAGAATTCCAGGCATGGAGGGAACAGCCAGTGAAAATGTACAGTGTCTAGAGATGAGTGTTGTGTGCAAGGATTAGCAAGGAGGCCAGGATCACTGAATTGCACGGTATGAGGTGATGGAGGTATAAAGTTTAGGAAAACTAAAAACGTGGGAAGGGGCCTATAAAGGGTTTTAGAAACCAAACAGAGGATTCTATATTTGATCTAGAAGCAATAGGGAACCACTGAAATTGACCAAATGGGGGGGACGAGGAGGGTGGTGACATAGTTGCATTTGGAATTAATTTAGAATAGGATAGACTAAAGGGGGAAGAGATTTGAGGTAGGAAGTCTAACCTATACCTGGCATGAGATAATTAGAGAAAGGGGCCTATTCAAGAAGTGTTACAAAAGTAGAAATGATAGGACTTGGCAAATACCACATTCCCCCCAACTAAATTATCTGCTCTTGGAGAACAGCATAGGATCTTGACATCTTAGATGTTGTCTAGTCCAGCTCCCTTACTTGACAGATGAAGAAACTGAGGCCCAGTTTTGTGACTTTAAACTCAGGACTTCTGTCTTCAAGTCCAATGTTCTCTTCCAATTGTACTTGTCTATTTTCCCCTCCACACCAAGCACAGCTCTATACCCTTAGAAGGCCTTCCACAGAAACTTTAATGGAAATCCAAACATAATCATTTCTTGACAGGCATTAATTAATGGACAAGAGCTGAATTAAAACAATGTCATATAAGATATTCACATTTTACTAGCTCAGGTCAGCCACCTCTGTCTTTATTTTCTTATGTTTATTATTTAATTACTTTGAATTTTTATTGATCTTGCCAGTTAATGCCATGTAGCAAAAATGGATTTTTTTTTTTGTGGGGCAGGAGGCTTTACAATAAAACCATAAGTAGTACCAGACTAATAAATTTGCTGGTAGTCCTTCTTTGCTATTTTCAGACATTGGACCAGATTCTTTAAGATTGAAGCTGTCTAATATATCTTAGCAGATAGTTATGAAATGTTTCCTCCTCAGAATTGAGGAAGGCATTGTTAAAAATACAAAGAAGTGGTTTGGCTATGTCACTAGCTTCCTCATCTCTAGGCAAGTTATCCTTTGATATGTTTATTCGTCTCTAAGAAAGAATCATAACTTTAGAGCTAGAGGAGACCATCCAATCCAACCCCTTTGTTTTAACAGATGAGAAGCCTGAGGCACAAAGGTTAAGCTTGACTAGGGTGACATAACTAGTGTCTGAGGAAGGATTTGAACCCAGTTCTTGTTGCCTCCAGTACAGTTTTTTTACCCACCGCCTCTCTAAAGAATGTTGGAATAGATGATCTCTAAGATACTTTTAGATATTCTGACATGATGCCTGATGTCAGAGCAATTGGATCAGGGCTATACTCTATTTGGAAGGTTCAACAGAAGCTATTCATCACTAATTCAACTCTACTAATTAATTTCAAGTAAATTTAACTGCTCAGTATTTAAAAACAAAAAATTACTTAAAATTCTTCCTTTCCAAATTCTGATTGTCCAGGGCCTTCCATTAAAGTGAACTCGAAGATATTCCTTTTTCAAATCTTCCAAATCTGTCAGCTGTTGCTACCATAACAATCTGAGCTATGGTGGTTGGAACGAATCCCCCATCATTAGAAATCAACCAACCAACCCTTCTTATGAAAATTAGGAAAAACAAATACATTTGAAATTACCTTTAAAAAATTCCTATATGGAATTAACTGGAAAAGGTCAAAATAATAAGAATAATAGAAATTAACTTTTACATAGCCTTCATTATGCTAAGGCACTGTGCTAAATGCTTTATAATTATCTTGTTTGATCTTCACAACAACCCTGGGATGTAAGGACTGTTATTATTCCCATTTTACAGATGAAGAAATTGAGGCACACAGGAGTTAAGTGACCTGCCCAGAGTTACACAGCTAGTAAGTGGCTGAGGCCAGTCTCCATAATTTCTTGACTCCATTCCTAGGTCTCTATCCACTGTGCCACTTACCTGCCCCACAGAGGACTAACTTTAGCTAGTAAATATGACCCATGAAGAAAAAGTAGGGGAAGAATCTTGGGATCAGACATTTAGAGTTGGAAGATACCATTAAATCAATCCTCTCATTTCACACCTGAGGATATTAAAGAGATTAATTCCCTCTGAAGGGCCAAGAGACATTACGTGTCTTGGCCAGGGCCAAAGGTTGTAAGTCTCTGCAGGAGGATTTAAACTTGGGTTTTCTTGACTCCAGATACAGTGCTTTATGTAGCTCCCTTTTAATTTTCTAGCAAAAGCCACTTTTTGAGTCTCCCTTTTTGTTTCTGCATATTAGATAAGGGTACATGGGAAACTATGAATGAATGAACTTATATATGAAGGCGTCTGTGAAAAAGCAGTACATATGAAATTTATCATGAGGACTATGAAAATCTTTCTATACCATCTCATGCCCTAACTCTTACCAGGTAGGAAATGAATTAGCTATAAAATTCTATTATTCGATGAAATGATATCTCTTGTACAGGATTATGAGTTAGAAAGAATTCAAGGACTATAGGATCTGATCTTATGGTGCTATGTATACATAAAAATAAGATATCTTTAGGTATTGATATATTCAGGTAAAAGTTTCAGCCACATAAGTTCTAATGATAATATAAATGGAGAGTATAAAACATGAGCCAAGCACATCGGTGTGATGAATGAATAGCAGAATTTTATTAGACATCCAGATTTATTTTATGGTTCAGGGTCTGTTAATTAGCATCTAATCAAGAAACTTCCATCAAAAAAAAACAAACAAGAAATTTGATAAAAGTTGTGGCAGCCTGTACCTCCTTGAAAAAAATCCTTTACTAAGACAGGATGGTCAACATTTAATCCGTTGTTTAGCTAAATTCCTTCTTGAACATTTGTTTTCTTGTGACACATCTTGTTTCTTTTGGGGTATTACTTTTTCTTCATGGGCAGGAAAGAATAGATGAATGGATTATATTAGAACAGAGGTTCCCCTTCTACATCATATTCCAATTTTGACCTATTCTTTAAGCTGTCCCTTGTAGCCCCAGCCAATCACAGCGCCTGGTGCACAGTAGGTGCTTAATAAATTCTTGTTAACTGTGCAAAAGTGCTTTGCTTCTTAACAATTGTGCATGTGTGCTTTCCCTTTCCTGCTCACATGTAGCATTTTTAGCAGATCACAATCGGCTAAATTCCACTAATTCCACTTCTCACTTTTTCTTTTGTGTTATTGCAATGGGAAGAACTTCATTTTCTTGGAAATATGATTTCCCCAAAATCTCTAGCCACAGACTCCATGTTTAAAGAGCAAATGTCCATAAGGCAAATGACAAATAGGAGTCACCCCCACCAAAAGGATATCCCTTTTCAGAACCATTCTGGGGAGAATGATAAATCTGAGAGTCAGAACCTAATAATCTAATTGGTAACATACAGATCAGATCCTGAATAAAAAGTCAAAAGTAGGAATGGTTTCTTTTTAATAAAAAGGTTTGTTATGACTACAGCTATTCCTAGTATTATCTTTATGAATTGTGCTTTGGCAGAAGATCCTGGACAACCAAACGTATACATTGCAAATGTATATATGTAAGAAAACTTTGTCTGCACAATGCCTGTTACTTTTAAGTTGTTTCCTAGTCTGCTTTCTGTGATAAATTTTTAACGCAATGATAAATGAAAGCTGGACTGGGCCTTAACTACAGTAACTTCAATCACCAACTCTTCATGTCATTTAAGTGAAGTTTAAGGCAAAGGTAGCTTGATAGTTGTCTAGTTATTGCAGTAGTTGAGAAATAACACAGTGAAGGAAGGAAACGGAGGGCAGAGGGAGGAATGAACAAATGTGCCAACAAACAAATGAACAAATGATGAAACAAAGGAAAGAACTTTTATTCTCAAGGCTGAACTTTGAAGAAAAAATTCAGAAATAAAGTGTGTCCAGGTGTCTGAGGTCTCTCAACCAGGTGCATGCTGCACTGATTACAATGACAGACTTTTCTGTCTCTTGATCTCCCAAACACGATGCTGGATGCTGACCCTATGCTGGCTTCATTTCAATTCAGATGTTAAGCAAAATATTGCAACACCACAGAATAATTTGAAATGGGAAGGAAGTTCATGTATAATGCATGAGAAGATATAGGCTTAATATTTACATAATTTAATCCCTAATATTTTGCAAATTTTATAATTTCCTTTTATTTTAATGCAAAAATGGAAGCTATGGAGATGAAAAAGTTTAAGATGAATAATGCCTTCCAATGGAAAATACACATCTGGTCCATTTCAGAGGAATCTGGTTTCAGAACAATGGTCACATAGCCCAAACTTGCTGTTTTAAAGGTTCCTTCCAAAGGGTTAATCTTTATTAATCATGTGGGGTGAAGCAACATTATGAATTTCATGGAATTTTTGGATTTAAATAGAAGAGTGTGATTGCACTTTGTCATCTTGTTTAGCCAGAAGTAAAACTTATAGCAGAAAAAAAAAACTATCAATAAGTATTTAAAGATCTTTAACATGAATCCAGTTTAAATACTTAAACTGACATACATAAACTAGCAAAATTTTTTTTGGTTTTGTTTTGGTGATATGTAAGGATTCTTGTCTGTCATTATTTGTAGTTGTCCATTATCCTAGTTTAGTTTCCTTTTGCTACACAAGCTTGTCTCCCCACCTTCTATAACCCTGTATCATTTGAAACAATGTCAGTAAATGCAAATTGATACTCCTGTTTTCTCTCAGGTAAATCTGCTGGGACTTGGGCCTGAGATGGGAGAGGAGTCACATGCTGCACTGTACTTAGAGGAAAGTCCCATTTCGCTAGAATTCTTGGGAACTGTGCTAATGTGATGTGTTGAATTTCTGGTTAATGAAGGCTAACTCCAAGCTCCTTTCTGTTTCTTGTCTCTTATTTTTGTTTTGTTTTCAACCTGGCTCAGATTTCCTCTGAAATGATATTTCACCTTCAGTAAGGTATCTCTGAATCTCTTTGATGACTAGGGATGATATAAATCACTCTCGTTGTCCAGAGCTCAAAGAGATGTTCTGGTAGTTTTTATCTTTAAAGAGCAACAGTAAAACTAAATCATCGCTCTCAAACTTGTTCTCTTATTAGACTAAGCCCCTTGAAAAAAAGGGACTTTTTTTTTTGGCCTATCTTTGTATGTTCAGTGCTTACCAGTATCTGGCACATAAGAGGCCCTTAATAAGTACTTTTGACATGATTTGTTCTTTTTTCTAAAATATAGCATCTCTCTTCCCCACCCCAACAACAACAAAATAAGATTCTAATTAGTGGATATTTTACTATATGATGTCTTTTAAAAGATTAATATCTAAGAGCTGACTTTTTATTTTAAAATTCTTTCAATGCTTTGGTGATTTTTGGGAAACAGCATTTAGTCATTGCTATTATTGAGGATTTGATTCATTAAATACATGACTCCTTTCAATTGAGTGTGCAGGAAATACTGGGATGAATAAAATGTCAGTGTCCTATTAAATGAGTCTTGGATCAGCGAGCAATTAAAATATATAGGGGACAAATGGGTCATAGTAAAATCTTAACTCAATAAAGGCAAATTAGCTCATAGTTAGATCAGACAAACTCTTTATACCTATTGGATTGATACATCAGATATGGTATTTGAATAGTAGGGTTTGTGGAGGTGGAAAGCAGTGTTTGTTTTATTTTTTACATAAAGAGGATACAAATGTGGTCTGAAAAGAGATTTCCAATTCATTATTAAGAGTATTAATAATAAAATATGGATGGAAAGGGTGGAGAAGAATCCCCTAAGTATTCAAGACTGACATAACCTTTAATAAAGTAAGAAAACTTTTAAATTCTTTAGAACTGCCTTTTCTAGGTTCAAATTTATGCCAAAGCACTTTATGGTATGTAATTAGCGCAAACTAATTTTTTTAAGCTTTTAAATGTCATCTTTCACTGAACAGAGTTTGAATGAGGGACGTTTCATAGCTATTACTTGAGGCAAGGATTTGTACAAGGTTAGAGATAGATGGAGTAAGTAAACTCTCTTCATCCTAATGACTATCTACTATTTGTATACATTTTCTTATATACTTCATACTTTTCAAGTTGGATCTGGTCATTTTTCAACATAAGAAGAATCTGTACTCCCTGTGCTCAGTGACATGATCGTGAAGACAGTAGTGATATCTTGTAATTTAGGAGTACATTTTTTTTCCTTAAGAAGTCAAAACACTTCACAGTGCTTGTCTTATCTTCAAAACATCCTTTTGGCATGGAAAGAGGAGATAATTACACTGCTTAAACAATACAGAAGCTTAAAATTTGAGAAAGGTTATGCTTTTTGCCCAGGGTCACAGAGTGAGTAAAATAGTGTAAGAATTCAGAATTTTCTGGCTTTTTTTCCCCAGCCTTTTTCCATTCTGTTATTCTTAGATTACCTGTATAAAATATGACATTTAAAAATTTATCATACTGTGATGCAGAGCCTCTACTCAATGGGGATAGGTAATAGTTTTTTGGTTGTTATTGTTTGTTTTTTTTAGCGGTGAAAAGTTTAATACTGAAAGATCCATTATTTTGTTCAATCAGTGATGTCATTAGCAAGAAATAAATTTGCACAGCTAACATAGTATTGTATAATCCTGGACAACACTAACTTGGAAGGACATGTGGGGAATGTATTTAAAGACACATGGGGCCACATAAAGGCAAGTAACAGGTTGTCACTGGGCCATACCACGATTAAAACAAAAATCATGTACCATATGGTATGTTGACATGTGATAAAGGAGAAAAAAATGACGGGAGTTTTTCAAGAATATATTTTAGAAAATGATTTTTTTTACTACCATGTATCTGAATTTAAGACAGATGTGTAAAACAAGAAGACAAGGAAGCACTGAGCACTGACTCCTTCCATTCTCAATGCCCACAGTCAATCGAATAGTCGAGCTTCAGTGACCTTCTTCTTTTCTTTCCTCCTGCTCTTGACTTGTGTGAAACAGCACATCTGGGATGCTCAGACATTACCAATCCTGTGATGAGGCACTTGCAGGGTTTGGAGGTTAGGACATGTGAAATATGGAGCTGGAAGGAAGCATGCTGCTATTCCATTGGAAGCAAAAGGAAGTGTAGGTCCATAGAACACCTCTTCTTTGCCTTCTCTACTAACATCCAAAACCTGCCGAGAGAAAAGCACTTGAATACTCAGAGAATAAATCCTACTTGCCAAAGCTGACAGATGGTAAGTGAATCTTGTTTAACACAACAAGAACCCAGTTCCTCCCTCAGGTGTCAGAATGTGATTTCTGATTCTCCAAGTTTTTGGCCGACCAGTACTTGCAGACACTGTATTGTACCTCATCCTTTGATGGTAAAATACACAAAGACATACTGAGAGGCAGGAGACTAGTGGAAAGAAAATTGGACAGATTTCAAAGACTACCTGTGCCTTAGCTCTACCCCTTCCTTATTAATGTATGAAACACTCTGATCTCTGTGCTTTTCTTTCCACAGTAATGACGATGAACTGATATTTATGTAGTGCTTCAAAGTTTCTAAGACACTTAATGAACCTTTTCTCCTCTGAGCTTCACTACAAACCTTTATGGTAAATGCTATAGGTATTATCCCCATTATACAGAGGAGGAAACTGAGGCTTGGGCAGGCAGGTTGAGTGACTTGCTTACCTAATAAGCATCAGATGTGGGATCCGAAGCCAAGGTTTCTTAATTCTAAGTCTAGCACTCCAACCTATAATACACTGATGATGCCATGCCCTCTGCCCTGTTTACCTCACAGGGCAGATAGCACATATGAAAGCATTACTATAAGTGACGAGGCAGTACTTCAGGGAATTGTATCACTACAGGCACGATAGATTACCTGTCTCTCCAACTTAATGTTTCTTAAAGAATTCCCTGCAGCTCAGAGGAGTCAATATTTTGCCCATGGGTCACAAAACTAGTAAGTGTCAAAAATGGTATTTGAACCCAGGTTTTCTAGACTCCAAATTCTATTGAATAGTTGTGTGTGTATATACATATACATATGTGTGTATGTATATACACACATATACACACACACAAATATACAGTGTTGAATATGTAGAAAAACTTACTGTATTGCCTGCCTCTAAGGTGGTAGTACCACACATATGCATGAAAACTAGTGACATATGTAGTATATTTTTATTCATGATAACATTGCAATAAATGATAGTGGATAAGGTTTTGGTCTTCTTACCTATCCCCCATAAAAAAAGTTATCTGCAGTTTAATTCAGCAAACACATAACAAATAAAGAGTACATCTTTCCACCATTCTCTTAATTGTAGTCCATAAGATATAAACCGACTCTCTCTTAGCCTCTGAAAAGTCTACAGGTAAATACAAATGAAACTTTTGGAGGGAGGAGAGACAAAACCAAGCTTGAAACTACAGATGGGTTAGGAATGTTCATTAATTGAAATCTACTATGATTGGGGCTGGACCAAGGGCATTTTAAGAACTCTTCTCTGACATAAATATGCATCAGAGAATCCCTCCAGAACTCATGTAAATGTGTTAATTTCTGCTACTTCTGCTGTTCGCTGAGAAACTAGAAATATATCAAAGAATGCAAACATCCAATTCCTAAATGACTTGTCACGGGACCAACATATTACATTCAGGGCAAGAGTTACTCAACAATAATGAGGCTCTACAGCCTAATCAAAACTACGGGTCACAAGTTGTGGATACCCCAGCTTGGCTTCCCTGCCCTACAGAGCTTCAAGGAGGGCACAGTGAACAAGGTGAAGAGAAGAAATACTAAGAGGTCCTTCAGCCCGATAACCTGAAGCATACAGACTTAGGGTTTGGTGTACGGTTTCAGGGGCTGATCACCAGAGTCTGCTTTTGATTTCACTTAAAGAAAATGCATCATCTCGGGCCAAACAACTCAAACTAATAGACAGGGCTGTCAACACAAGACTAGGCTACAGTAATGCTGCAGGGTCTACAGGCTAGGAATCGTTCAGCCACACACAAACAGGCCCAATCAACATCAAGAGTATCGTCTTTAAAATCTAAGGACAATATGCTTTGTCTATTGCTAAGCCCATCGTAGGACTTAAGTGTCAGCAAGTATCTGCATTATGGAATAAGCTGTACCAATAATAACTAGTCAAAGGACCACCAGCAAAGGGTATACTGAGGCTCCTTGTATTACTTATAGGATGGCGGAACTTGGAATTTTCTGACTTTATTTGATTTCATTGATGGAAGAAAGGTATTCCTTGAAGAGTAGAATTCTACCAGAAAAAAAAAATTGCATTTCAAATGAATTTCAAATAGGGTAAGAAACTAAGTGTTCATAATAGATTTAATAATACTTTGCAACATGCATTATCTTTCTTTAGCCAACTGAGTTCTAATATACACATGACTTATAGCTGTTCACATTTGTTTGACCCCTCTTCTCTTAATATATTACATTTGCAGAATTCCTTAGAACCCTGGGTGACAGAATGAAGTCAGTTACTTGATCACTCAATAAACCCTTCTAAGTACTTACTACGTGTCAGGCACTGTGCTAAGAACCAGGGATACAAAGATGCATAAAAGACAACCCCTGCGCTTCAGAAACTCACAATCTAATGGAGAACTACTGTCTAGCAAATGCTGCATACCACAGATGACACAATTAGGCTGATTCTCTTGCTTTGTCAAATGGTGAAATTCATACCTTCCCCAAAACCAATCTTTCACACTTGTAATCTCACTGTACCATGTTCTTGCCCAACTCACTTCTTGTCATCCTTGTTAAACAAACATGTATTGGTGACAAGTTGTGTACAGGGCACTGTGCCCTTGTCTTCCTTGTCTGCTAGTGCTCTGAAGCCAAAGGGTAGGCATTAAATTGGAAGAGATTTAAGTACATCTATTACCCTGTAAGAAAATAAGTAATTTTTACATATCTAAGTTTCCATGAAGACAAATATAGAAATACATTCTTCTCACACCGAGAAGATCTTTGTCGCACATCTGGAGCAAAATGAGCTCCTGTAAGTATGGAAGCAACAAGCAGGATATGGCATGCTTCAATTGGCATTTTTTTTCCTTCTTTAGAGATGAAACTACTATTAGTACCTTGGTGCTAGGCTTTACAAATGTAGGGAGACCTCTCTTCAATTTATTTACACAGTACCCTTGCTGGTGGTTGTCATTTACCTCTCCAGAATGCATCTCTAAGGGAGAGGAAGGATTTAAGGCCACTCAGGCAGAACTATGTCAGAATACACAGTTAAAAGAGAAGATACCATTTGAGTGAAGGTAATCAGCCAGAGACCCTTTGTCTGACTCTCTGGGCCAACAGAGACTGCATATGTTAAGCAGATGTAATGCATTTAATCTGTGAGCATAGCAAAGGAAGAGTTGGCATTTTTCCCCCCAAAAAAACCCTTCCCTTATTAGCTGGCAAAAAAAAAAGGCATCTGCATCAAGGTGTTGCCAATTTGGCAGAGCCTCCCTTAGCCAAAAGGAAATAATACTAAATAAAGAACAGTAGAGGTAAGCTGGAAATGCAAACTAATCACTTGCACACGTATGCAGCTGCTCCCCTCTACATTATTCTTCATACATGGCAAAGTAGATTAGAATCAATGCTTCATGCCAAATATTTGTTATACCCACATAAAAATAAACAATACCACTTCTACATCTGCCAGAAACCTTTATTTCACATATTTGTCCTGTGGTTTCATTAAAAATAGGCCCATGCCATAATCTTAACAGTTGACTATGTCAAGTGTGTTCTCTTTCACACCTGCCCTTGAGACAAAGAATGCCAAATGCAGCCTGTTACAGGTCAAGGATAAATAGAGAAATCACATAGCTCAGACTAGTGGAAGTACATGTTTTCTTGGACCAGATAATTTGGTTAGTCCATTGTTGGGTTATAGTGAAAGGCTGGGAGTAACCTGGTAAGAAGAAAGAATTAAGTATAATAGGATTAGAAATTTAGTTTTGGAAGGGACTTAACGGCTATCTAATCCAGCTCTCTCCATCTCTATGTAAGGAAATTAAGAACCAAGAGGCTAAATTATTGGCCTAGAGTCACAGAAGTGGTCACCTGACTACAAATCCAGCACTCTTTCTGCTCTCTTATGGACCTAAGATTTGGCTATATCTTTAGAATCTCCAAATTTACATGAAAATAATTTTTTGAAAGTAATTCAATCAATCACTAAATATTTACTAAGTGTTGACTATGTGCCAGGCAATGTGCTGATAGAGGCAGAAGACAGTCCCTGTCCCTGAGGAGCTTACAATCTAATGGAGGAGACAATATGCAAACAAACACACAAAGTGTGCTACAAAGAGGATAGATAGGAAATAATTAAAAGAGAGAAGACACAGGAACTAAAAGGAGTTAGGAAAGGCTTCCTGTAAAAGGAGGAATTTTAGTTAGGATTTAAAGGAAGCAGGGAAAGTCAGCAGTTGAAGTTTAAAAGGGAGAGCATTCTAAGTGTGAAGTCAGCCAGAGAAAATGCCTGGAAATGGAAGTGTCTTGTTCTTGGGGCAGCCAGGAGGCCTGTGTCAACAAACCAAAGCACATACATGTTGTGGAGTAAGGTGTAAGAAGTCTGAAAAGGTAGGAGGGGGCTAGGTTATGAAGGTGCTTTGTATTTGCTCCTGGAGGCAACAGTAAGCCACTGGAGGTAATCAAGTAAGGGTCAGACTTGCACTTTAGGAAAATCACTTTAGTGGCTGAATGGAGGATGGATTAGATTGGGCAAGAACTTGGGGCAAGCAGACCCACCAACAGCTACTGCAATAATCAAAAGGTGAAGGTAATCAGCCAGAGACCCTTTGTCTGACTCTGGGCCAACAGAGGCTGCTACCACTGGAGTGGTAGCACTGTCAGAGGAGAAAAGGGGGCATACTGGAAAGATGTTGCAAAGGGGGAACTGGCAGGCCCTGGCCACAGCTTGGATATGGAGGGTGAAGGACCCAGGATGACTCACAGGTTGAGAGCATAAGTACTCCTCAGCAACGTAAGACACAGGTTTTTCTGAACTCAGCTACAGAGAAGGAGTGGGAGATATGAACAGCCTGAACCTGAAAGAAGAGAGGTTACTGAATGATTGAGGAAGAGGGAGAACTTGGAAGTAGCAATGGGGAGCAAGGAGTATTCTAATATCCACACCTTGACCGAGAGCAAAGAGAGTGAGTAAAGATGCAGCCAGCATTGGAAAGGGTAGCCAGGGAGGCCTTGGAGTTAAGAGGTCAACAACATGCTTCTCCACTAGAGGGAATGTTTTGGGGTCTTTTGTTTGTTTGTTTGCTTGTTCTGCTTTTATAAAAGTAAAAATTTTAAAAGTTAAAAAAAACTTGCTTATAAAAAATTGTAACTTCAGAGGTACAGTGGTATTTCTCTTAATTAGTTCTCTACTATATGTCATTAATGATTTTCTTCAAGAACAGTCAGGGACTTTGGGTATATCCAAAACTCCAAACCACACGCACACACACACACAACACACACACACGCACACACACACACACACACACACACACACACACACACACACAGAGCTAACAGACAGGAACCAGTTATCTGCGTATGTCAAACAACGTCAAATTAGAATAAAAGTCAGATGTTTTGTAATTAAAACAGTTTTAATCTGACCCATTTGAACAAGCTACTGATGCCAATAAATTGGAAATGGATAAAAGGAATACACATTAATACTATTACTTCCTAAGGAAGTTTAACCAGGTAAAGCAATCCTCACAACAAAAAGGACCAAAGTGCCTGGAAACTATCTTAACCAGCACACACTTCATCTTGTTGCCAAGTGAAACACTTGTTTAGAATGTAAACCCATTTGTAAAGTCTTATGGAAGAAGATTATGATAAAAAAAATTATAGACTACATCAGTTTGAAAAATGGCAAGGAATGTACAGATGGGGGGTGAGATGATACAAGTCAGATCCTCCTCAGAGCACATAAGGATGAAAATTGAAGGACAACAAACAACTAAAAAATATAAATGATCTGAAAGGAGGCCTGGAAAAAATTGTTTTCTTCCTCTATTAGAGTGCAGCCACTCTATTTAGTCTCTAACATCATTGTTCCCTTTGGGCTACATAAGGAAGTGTAAGGGTGAGTAAATCATTGCCCCATCTCTCCTAAAGAAAGTGGGAGCTCAGATAGCCACTTCAGAGCATATGCTACAGAAGTTGAAATGGCACTAAAAAAAATAAAAATGGGAAGAAGAGCTTAATCAGACCAAGACTACACAGAAGAGGTCTATGATGGAGATAAAATAATTCATTAGTCAGTTTTCAAGATATCTGAAAAAACAGGAAGATACCAAATGACTAGGAATATATCATGAACATTAGTATTAAAAAAAATGTAGAGGATAGCAAGAATTTCCAACTCGTGTGTCATTGGAGATGTAAGAAAAAAAAAAGGAGTGGGCCAATGACATAACAAGTGAGAAGAACAAACACTGGTATCCACACAATGTCAAGAGATCTAATGGAAGACTTCCAACATTTGGGGTGAACCGTCTGTGGAGGATTTACACAACAACATGGACAGGAGTTGCACAGTCTAGGTGGTACCCACTCTGCTGAGGGCTCAGATCCATCAAAATAACAAGCAACATATCTACTTTCACATCTCTAAAATCTTTATGAGAATATTTTACACATACATCAATCAATCAATAGGAACTGCTAAGTGCCTGTTATATGCCCAGGCCCTATGCTAGGCACCAGAGATATAATGGCAACATGAAGCAGTTGCTACTCTCAAAGAACTTATACACTTTTGTGGAAGACAACTGTGTAGAGTATCCCCGAAAACTTTAAACTGCCCTATGATTTTCAGGATACCCTGTGTATATACATTATATGTATTCAAAATACAAACAAAATAAATGCAAGGTAATATTTAGGGAATCCTAGATGATAACATGAGAAGGAAACAGTCAACTTCTCATAAACTATTCTACAAGAGACTACCTTCTTACAGTCACGAAACTGAGAAAAAGGTATAAATAATACAAGATCTTGTAATACAAATACAGAATAATTGTTACTTATTAACTATAGAAAAATATTTTCACTCAATACTCCTGGTCTCTTAAACATAGCCTTAAAGACTGTCTTACAACAAGGTATCACTTGTATAAAACAAAATAATAAAAGATACCTAAAGATAGACAACAAAAGATAACCTTGTTCAACAGTCTTCAGGTTATTAATATCAAGAGAAAATTAAACATAGCCAAGTATGCTCACTAAAGGTGTCTGCCAATCTCAAAAAGGAGGTTGTATACAGAGCTTAAAATGAAAAGAGATGCCCCATATATACAGTATTTATCCCCCAGATGCTCATATTTACAGATAATACTGTGCTAACTGCATCAAGACCTGGAACACTGCAGAGCCTAACTACTCAAGATAATCACTCAAGAAACTTTGTCTACTTAGCTACACAGCAAAATCCAATTTTCCAATCTTATATTATACAGTTGGATGAACAGCCTATAGAATGGATTGTGGGTCCATGACTACATAAATGTTGGACAGACATTGCAAGTGGACAATGAATCAGCCCAAATCTGAATAAAAAGGAAAAAAAAAAGTTGGCTGGAAAATGTTTGGAAAATTGTGTGGCATTTTCAATAACCTCAGACTTTTATTACAAAAAAATCTCATCTCTTTAGCACCAATATTCTTCTAGGAATGATATATGGCTGTGAATTGTAAAATATATTCTCCATGGAATCATACTTGAATGATGACACCCAAAGACTAATGGAAATTGGTGTAAGCAGGCTGTAGTATATTGCCAGAAAGTTACATACATAAGCATAAACTAGATTAAATTCCACTCAACTAGCATGTTAAAGCACCTTCTATATACGAAGCATTATACTAGGCATGAGAGATACAAAGACAAAAATCAAACTGTCCCTGCTTTCAAGAAGATTACATTCTATGAGAGGAAATAATACGTGCACAGAAAATTAAATTCAAAATATTTCCAAAGTAATTTCTAGGAGTAGGCCAAATTTCTAATATGAAAGATAATTTGTTAACCATAGGATGTAAAATTAAAGGAATAAAGGTAGAGAGGGATAGGGAAATAGGAGGGAGGGGGGTTAAGTAAAGTAGCTATGAATAGTGGCCAGGGAAGAAAACTTTCCCATAGGCAACCTGTAATTCAGAATCACAAGGAATCTAAGTGAAGTTACAGGGTAATATATGTTTATGTATATGTGTGTGTGTGTATGTATGTATGTATGTGTGTGTGGTGTGTGTATAATTATAAATCCCTGAGTGAAAAGTAGAAAACAGGGGGTCTGGGGAAAGGTTGAACCATGTATAGCAGCTGGGCAAATAACCAGCTCCTAGGCTTACCTGCTGGCCAAGGCAGGGAATGACAGAATTCTGGGCCTTGACTCTTAATGAAGATAGAGGATGGTGGATGATATTACATCAGGCCAGTAGTCAGGTGGAAATTTGTAAACTGACTTAAAAATCACAGTTGGTTATAAAATGCCTCCTTGGTTTGCACATCTTTTTCCTCCCAACACTTTGCGAATACTTATAAATGTGAAATACTATCCCTCCTTTCTTCCCTTCCTCCCATCCCCAAGCAAAAGGTATATATCTTATACATACATAAATCTTAGAAGACTCGCCAAGGCCTTACTGGAATGAGAGCAGACTTATAACCTGCTCAGAAGAAAAAAAAAGGCTACAACTGTATCAAATATCACCTAAACATAACCAAGCACTTGTCTCCCATCAGCTGGATAAAAACTCCCAGGAAAGCTCATTTTGCAGCACCTCTAAACTCACCAACCATGTCCAGATGGCAATTCCTCATAGGCGTGGAAACCACAGACAACTGACACAGATTGCTTGCACTTAACAGAACGGCTAATTTGTGCAGGAAAGAATATAAATGCTCCAATCAGAGAGCTTCCCATCGGGCTGATCTCTTGTACTGTGGCAGATACCGGTTGACTCCAGCATAGTTTATATGCCTGGGAGAGCTGCATCTCTTCCCTTGTTCCCTGATGTCAAGTCAAGTCAACAAGTGCTGGGCATCCCTGCCACCACTGCTCCAATCAAACACTCTCCTTTCAACAGGGTATTTGAGTTTAGAGGGGGGAAAATGTCATGTAATCAGACAACATATAAACTAGAAATACAAAACTATGGCCAAAAACATTTTTAAAAAAACAGGTCCTGTCTAAGGAAATCCTTGGCATCTAGGACTATTTCCAAGGCATGCTGAGCACTGTGCTGGGCCTGAGTTGCTAACACTGGCTTGTGCCAACACTGCTTTGGGACTGGCTGGCCAATGACAAACCACCTGCTGCTCAGAACAGCTCTGAGAACCTTCTGCCAGAAAGTAAAGCAGGCTTTGTAGCCAACAACAATGGAAATGCACAAGCCTTAAAAAGAAGAATCCTATTTTTTCAGTTCTGATACTAAGAAAACAAAATGACACATACAAAGAAGGAAGGTGAATGTTTTTAACTGTTATAATAGCTTTCTTTTTTTGTAGTTTTAAAACAGGAGGGCCTCTCTCTTATTCATATGCATACATATATATATGTATGTATACATATACATAGAGATACATATACATGCATACACACATATATAAACACATATATACATATACACACACACACACACACACACACATTCCTGGCTCATTCCCTTTTTCTTTCAGGGGCACAATCTTTTAATAAATAAAACTTTCAACATGCAGTCAGAGCTCAGCTTAGTGGCTGAATGAGTAGCACACACACACACACACACACACACGCATACGCATACACACACACACACACACACACACACAGAGGCACAAAATATACTCTTAGCCTCTCTCTTTACTTGAATGCTTTTCATTTAGTAACAGCACTGCAAAAAAAGTAACCTTTCTGAACCACTTGAGGAGACTTCAAAAGGAACCTCAACTACCCACCTGGATACATGCCAGAGGCTCATTTGTCCAAATCGAATAGCCACCAACTAAATATATTCTTCCATTATGGACAGCAATTCCGGATTCATTTTGACCTAAAGCAAAAAGGAAGAAGGAGGGAGTAAAATACACCACCTGCCTGTTTTAATTAACCCTTTGGCAGTGAGAGTTGCAATTTCTTTATGCTGGTGGATTTAACAGAAACAGTGAGAGACAGGTGGTAACTGATCACTGCCTCTCAGAAGGTAGAGGGTAGAACCATTGTGGACATACTAAGCTGCAGAGAAGTAATCTGCGTGATGATAAAAGTGTGAAAAATGGGGCAAATAATTATTATAAACCATTAGTAAAATGATTTATTAAACATTAATTTAAGTAGGGGGCTTCCATCTAACTAAGAGCCTATATTATATGCTACCAGTTTATACTGGTAACAATCAAAGTTACGAAGGGAAAAGAACAGGGCTTGTTATCAGGGGACCTGAGTTTGAGCCCTGGCTCAGCCACTTATTAGCCCTGAGACCTCTTCTATAAAATCATGGTAATAATATTTTCACTAAGAAAAGCACTATACAAACTGTAAGGCACTTCATAAGTGTGAACAATTAATATTTTTATGTCACATCTTTGAGATGTGGAATGTCTCCTGAATGTGAGAATGGAAGAAAATGGTTTAATTTGGACATAAGTTCCTTGAAGGAAGAGATTTCTTCTTTTTTTGTTGTTTTTGTGTCCTCAGCACCTAACACAGTGCCTGATATGTAGCAGATACTTAATAAAATGCTTATTGCCTGACTGAAGTCTGAGTGAGTTATTCCTATGAATTGTAAAACATGTATATTTTGAATATTACCTATTAAACAAAAAATAAAAGGATTCTAATATAATATATGCGTATTGTGTGAATATGTGTGTGCGTGTGAGTGTGTGTGTGTGTGTGTACATATACACTCAACAGTTTTTAAACTGTTTTGAAAATAGTTGATCTGGAAAAAATTCGGGGAACCCTAAATGCTAACACATCAAAATAATTTAAGTCCTAGTTTAGTGCTGGTAGTGTTTTTTGTTTTGTTTTTAAACACAGAATAACTCAAGGATACATATTCTTCCGTAGAGGACATCAAAGAATGTGATAGTCTCATTTTATTGATGGGCTGACAAAGGATTGTCTGAAGCAATAAATAAACTATATCCTAAGCTAGTCAGAATCATAGATCCAGAGAACTGGATAGTCTAAGATCCAGTTGTGGTAACTTAAAAGAAAGCTGTACATGCATTTGTGGGACTCAGAAATCATTTTTTATAAAGTCCAAAAAGGACCTTATAAAGGACTTTATAAGGACTCAAACATGTAAATACTATTTCCGACTAATAGCGCTCTAAATGGAGAATACTAATACTATCACCACCACCAGGAATTGGGAGTGTTTTCCCACTGGGGTACCTGGTTTTCAATTCACCATTTTTAAAAGGCATCAAAAGGTAATACAATCTCCCAAGTCCTAGAACCTGATTTATAATTTTGTAAATGATTCAAAGGAAATGGACAAAAAGGCTGAGCTCACAGAAGTAGATGGAACCTTAGGGATCACTGAGTGCAAAGCCTTCATTTTGCAAATAAAGGAAATTAAAACCCAAAGAAGGGGAGAAAACTTGCTTAAGGTCACACAGCTAACTGGCAGCAAGACAAGATCTGATCCCAGGTCCTCTGAATCCAAAATTCCAAAATCCAGTTGTCTTTTCATTGCAAAACATTTACTGGCCACCTTTAAGTTTTAATAATGCAAAGACAGAAAAAAAAAACCTTTCAACTCCATATAAAGTTATGTTATTTTTGTGCCTCCCCTCTATGCCTTAATAAAGGATATATGAGAATGATTAGGATATTATACGTGGCTTTTCATTATGGTAATGCTTTATCCTTTGACAGAAATTTTAAAATGGGTCTATATAGCTACTATCCCCCAGAATACTGATACCTACAACACTGTATATTTCTTAAGAGCAAATGTAGTGTTGTCTGTACGTGTCACTAAATACAGAAGTGCAAAAGACAGAAACAACAAAAAACAAAGCAACAACCTCCTCCAGATCATTCTGTCGATTGAAGAGAGTTGGATTAAGTAGAAACAATAAATTTAGTGGAACTTTAACTGTTGTCAGGAATATAAGGTTCACTTTGGATGAAGGGGGGGAGGTGTTCATTAACTCTGACCTCTATCCCCATAGCTGCATCATTTACAAAACTTAAAGTAAGTATTTATTACAGCTAAGAAATGTATGAACATTTCTTAGCCACATAAAGAAGCAAGATGGATATGTCACATAAGGGAAAAAAGTATTGTACCAGAAGTCAGGAAACACCTGCATTGAAATCCTTTTTCCAGTACTTACTAGCTGTGTGACCTTGGGCACATCACATCATCCCTATGAGTTGTAGTTTCTTCATTTGTAAAATGAAGATAGCAATGCTTTATATAGTTATCCCATAAATCAAATTAGATTTAAAAATTTTTATTTAAAAACTTAGTAAATCTAAAAGTACTAAATAAGTGGCAGGTATTATTCTTGAGAGTATGAAATACTGAAAAGAAAGCCATTCTTAGAGTCAAGAGAATCTGGATTGATGTCCCACCTTTGACACATGCTAGCTGTGTGACCATCGGCACATTACTTATCTCAGTGCTATAGGCAACTCCTTAAGACTTAAAAATACAAATGAGATGTCAATCTAGATTAGTAAAGGAATTTCTACACTGTAAATTCTCTACTATTTTTATTTTTTTTTAAACTCCAAAAGTCATACAGGCCACTTACAGAAATTAACTAGCTTTAAGAGCTTTGATACTTAAATTAGTAGACCTCCCACTCCAAAAAAAAGTGAACAACATCTGTATTCTAGTTACTAGAATCAAACCCATTTATGTTTTTAAAAATGTATTTCAAAACAAAGCCAGCTTCTTGTCTCAAAAAGTTTTAGATTTTTCCAATTCACTAAATCAAAAGTACTTGCCAGTTAACAGGTTGAAATTGCAGCGCGTCCACTGGTCTGTATCTATGTTATAAGAATCTATATGTCTCACAAGGATGCGATCATTATTATAGTCCAGGTCATTGCCCCCAAGAACATACAGCTTCCTCTGGACAGCAGCCATGGAATGGTACACCCTTCTCTGTGGCATGGGGCTTCGACTGATCCACTGATTCTGCAAACGGGAGGAAAGCAGAACTATGCCTGTGATGGGGTATGAATGTTTCCATGGTGTAAACAGCAAAGCCAAGTGTTCTAGATCATAAAGCTTCTTGGAGGCAAGTACAATGCTATTTTCCATCCTGTTATACTCATCACTCAGCAGAAGTATCTTGCATGTAGCAGATGCCACAAAATATTTTTTTGAGTTGAATTTAAGACATTTCCCCTCTCCTCCTGTGTCACCCTCTTCCCTCATCCCCATGCCTCTTAAATGTATCACTCACACAGTTCAACATGAACCTCGGTAATAATGGCTGTGAAACTTAAGGACTCAGGCCAGTAAGAATAAACATGAAGAAAAGAACCAAAAACTTAAATGTCATTTATTTTAAAAGCTTTTTAAGAGAGAGAGTATTCTCCTATTTGTCTTTAATGAAATAACTTTGGAAATAATGTCCATTTGTGGCTATATCTAATATGATATGAGAAAACACAAGTTAATATGGTAGCTGCCTATCTCAACCCAGTGGTTACTCACTTAAGCAAATAACTTCAGTGCAAAAGCATTGTGTGGCTGGGGATTTTTGTTGCTCCTTGTGAATAGCGCCACTGAAGGACTCCCTAGATGGAGAAGGAAAAGGTGCTTTGTTGTTCTCCAAAATTAACATTTTGGGGCAAATGGAAGAGGAGCTAAGACTGATCTGGCAACAAACCTCTGATGCCATAGGATTTAAAAGTCCTGTTAATGTTGCTATGACATCATTTTGTGACAAACTAGAAAAAGGACATTTTAGGCACTCTATATTTTAAAAGAAAATGTCTGATACTGAGTATGATTTATCACTTATATTTAGTTCTGGGGGCACTTGAGTGAGAAAAAGAACTAAGGTAAACTTACCCTACATGGGTCTCTGGTCCAAAATTAGGAACTTGATGGCAAAAACCATCTCCAAAAAAATTAAATTTTAAATCACACTTCAGAGTTACAAATAGTTTGATAACTGCCCCAGAGAGGTAGACAGCCCTAAGATCTTCCTTTCTATATTAAACAAGAAGCATCTTTACTAAGAAAAACTGCAACTTGACCAGAAAAGTCCTATGTTTTGAATGGTACACTTTCAAAAATCTCCTCAGAGTATGTCATCTCCGGGGAGGGGAACTAAGTTAATCTACACAAATATTAGTTCATTCATGGCAGGCATTTCTATAGGCTCAGTTAAGTTTGCCTTTTCTTTTCAAAGATATTTTTGGACAGAAAATGTGTTTTCTGCCATTTGAAAGGCACACCACTTTTGTCTGCCACCTTTTTCTATGTGTAGATGTCATGCAAAGAGAACAACTGTTCAAGCTAATTTTCAAATCAAACACCCTTCCAGCCAAATACGTAACTTCCTTAATAAGAAAGTCAAGGCTTCCTTCAGGTATCTGGCCAAGAAATACCTTTAATTAAGCTACCAAGGCCTAAGTTCCAAATACGCTTTCTTCAGGTGCCTTCTATCAGACTCCATATTACAGTATTAGGAATTAATTTTTGCATTAGCAGTCCTGTCCCCTGCCACAGGACTATGGACGCCATCTGGTTTGCAAAGCCTGCCTGCATCCCCTGATTATATCTTTAGCTTCCTCTACTGCAGTGCCTTCCAGGTGAGCCGCCAACCGCTGCAAAGGCAAAGAAACAGAGGGGCCTGGCGGGGTCATTCCTAATAAGCTAGCGTGTGAATACTAATCAGTGGCGGGGAAGCAGAGGTCACCCCAGCCTGCCTGTTGGCAGGTAGCAATGTGCTCTGTGGCAGATGGCGGGCATTATCGACTCTCCACAAAGGCCTAGAAGAGAAACAAGCACCAAGGCTGAATGATAGAGTGATTGAGATTCTGTGCAAGATGTAAGCAGATGTGATGTTTGCCAGCACCCACCGTAAACAATATGCCAGTGGAATTTTTAAAAAGAGATTGTGTGTACAAACATGAAGCAGACCTCATTTGAGAAAAACACCCTTCCTTTCCACTTTAACTGTATCTATGCCAAGTTTGAGAGACTGCCAGTAATGACCCCGTCTGGGACAGCTGACTCCCTGATATCCCCAGTTAGAATCTCTGAAGTCTGTAAGCTCTAATAACTCCAGGAAACACATTGGGATGGGCAGGAATGATGGCCTCTTTAATTTTCAGAATCAAGCAATGGTTAAAAACACATTAAAAAAGACACAAAAAAGGAAAGCTGAGATGGTGCTACATACACATTTTTGGCCCATCCCTGTTTAGGTCACCAAAACCAAGCTGATATTTCATGTCGTTGATAAATATAAAAACCTAAATTAGACTATTTGAAATGTTCCTTTAATCATGAAAAAGATTAAACATGGCCACGAATGGACAAATGTAAAATTCAGTAGACATCTGGTAAATTTGTTGTTTAAACTGGAAGGAAGGGGGCTGATCTATAGCTCTAAGCCCAGGGAAAAAAAACACATTTAAAATATATGAGGAGTGGACAGAGGGAAGGCCAGACCTCATTAGAATGTTTACAATTCAAGCCCTGGCTGCTGGTGAGTCAACAGCATAGGCAAAATCTACAGGCATTTCTACCTCCAGGTTTGCCGACTACTGTGCTGCCCTGGAGAGATGGAAATTATACAATGTCCCTCCTAGAAAGACACTCCTAACCAAAGGGTAGGGCATCAGGTCTTATTTAAACATCTTAGTTAAGGTCTTCTAGATGAAAGAGGAGCATATGTATATAACAATAATAATAATACCAATCTACACCAAACAAATATTTTTTCCCACCTAATACAGACAGGAACGAACTGTGGAAAGATGGAAGAATTTAAACCACAGAATTTTCATTAGCTAAATTTCATTAGATAAAAGAAGGTTCATTTTCCTTACATAGATTATATATTCATATGCATATATACATACACAGATATGTAGAGAGGGGAAAGTAGAGATATCGCATATGTTGGTAATATAGTTTAAAAAATACATACATGTTACACCAAATGATAACTTGAATATATCTTAAAATCAGTTTTCAGTAGGGTATGGCCAGTCCTTACCTGGTTGGGTTCATACACCATTAGTCTGTTCTGATATTGTGCAGTATTAGTTACCCCACCTGTAATGGATTAACATGTGTTACATCTCTTCATGAATATGACACAGGCTGTTTCCCAAATAAGAATGAAATATTACTGGAGGTAAAATTAACTACGATTGAGGATTGGTTTGTGTGCCCTAATGATAAACCTATGATGTGATTAAGCTCATTTAAGTAGCTTCACTTTCAAGCTACATTTTGAAGATCATCTACTTAAGAGGAAGCAACAAGTGTGTTGCGATTACCACGAATGGATGCAGTCAGATTGTTATGAACTGGAGGAATGAAAGGAGGGGAAAATAGCCACAAATCACTTGGAGAAAAGCGGAAGAGAGAGATGGAAACTCAGTTGTAAGAAATTATTCTGTGTGGTTTGTCCCAAGGACACTGAATAACGGGGATAATTCTTAGCCAAACATTTAACTTTGTAAATTCCAACAGTTTGCATAATAGTACACAAACAGCTTCTGCCTATTTGGAGATGCTATTTCCCTAGACTAGAGTAACTTAGCATAAATTAAATAGTATAGCCTGGGGTCTACAGTTGTTCTGCTTTAAAAATACAAAAGTAAAAGTCACTATTCAACCTTTAAAACTCTTCAAAAATTACTGTCTTTGAAACTCTCTTGATTGCGGCATAGATCTAAGGAGGCTTGAGATCATCTACTTAACCAAAAACTCTTAAATATATTTTGTGCTCTTCCCAGTTTTCCCCTATTCTGACTTCTTTACAGGCCTATTGTATATATAGAGCAACACACAATGTAATAACCATTTGTTCAGCACGAATTTTTACAATCAAAATGAAAACCTCTAAAAATCAGCATGTAAAACGGCTTTGTGGAAGAAATGCGTTGGTGGACATCAAGAAAAGCCTCCCCCTCCAAAAAATATCCACAAACATAGAATCAAGTAATTTGTATTTTAGGTAGAAGAAATTTTTAACAATAATACTCGTGTATTATGTTCTAAATCCTGGCCCCAAATCAGTGGCTAAAGGCAAAACTGTTTAGGCTACTGACCTTGCTTATTTAACACCTTCAATATGGTAGGGCTGCAAAGAAATATATAATTCTATATTTTCTAGGTATGTACAGTACATACCTAAAGTTCTCTTCTTTGGCAAACTCATAGTCTAGTAGCACAGTTGGCATAACATACACATTCTATGCAAAGGCACCACTTTCAACATCATTTAATAAGAATAATTCAATTAAATTCTACAAGTCCATGAATACCCAGTATATTTGTTACTGTGCTAGCACAGTGGTGTCTAGTTAACAACGAAAGGATTGAATACAATGAGCTAATGATAAAAGATAAGTAAATAAGGCATGGAAAAAAAAACTGATCTAGGCCAAACATTATTCTCCCACTTCCCTCTAGTAAAGAACTTGAATCATTCACTTAATTTTCTAAGACCATTTTTAAGTAGAGGTTAAGTTTCACTTCCTCTAAGGCAAGGAACTCCTTTTAAGATCAATGGGAAACTTGCCTGTGGTATAAATCCATGAAGAATACACAAAAGAGGTTCTAGTATCTAAGTGAAAAAAACAACTTTGAATTTCTTTAAGAATGTCTCCTTTCCAATATAAATATCAAAGGAAAAAACTCTGTCACACTTAAGAAAAGCATGGCAACTGTATTCCCTCAAATATTTAAGATAAAGATACAATGAAATACATACCTTTTTTGCCAAATATATTAGCAGAATGTATTAATTTTTAGCATCTCTCTTCCTTTGTGAAACTTTCAATACCTAATTGTTCCTACCCGGCATAACAACAGAAGATGAATTACCAATCATCCACTGAGATTACATAAGTCTTTGGTGTTAAAATGATTAACCAACCCTTGCTCTGGGTACATCAATGAGGAATGCAAGTGTAATAGAGGGACGGCAGAGCCAAATTCCCTTTCACACAAGCTTCGATCATGGAGGCTGCTGAACTGGTTGCAGAAATACAAGACCCTGCTGATGTCAACTTCAGTAAAATTGTTGAAGACAGTACTCAAATGTTCATAGTACTATCCCTAACGGATTTTGTTTGTTAGAGATTAAATGTATAGCAATTGAATTAGAATGTCACTATTGTAGTAAATAACCTTGGCAGTTCATACCTTCTCCTACAAGATTCTCTAGCATTCTCATTATTATTTATCATTTTCCACAGAAGCAATCTTTTTTTCCCCCTAATCTGTACTCAGTAATTAGATTTCCTTAACATATGTATTTTCATTCATATAATAATATTTAGAAATGAGGAGTCAGATTACTAGTTGGGGGGAAAATTATAGTTATTTGGTTGATTAGCACCAGGGTGTGAAATGCCAAGAAGTTCACCAGCGAAGCAATGTTGTAACTTTTGCCAAGTCACTGTTGTGAAGGAAAACCCCAGACAGCGCTGCTGCTATTGCTCTCCATTAAAATAATTGACAAATAAGCACATAAATAAAGCCATTTCCCTTAGTACACATAAAAAAAAAAAAAGATGACGATCCCATCTCTCCCTGCTCACATTTCCTTGATACCTTTGCTCATTTGTGGAGTTTCTTCATTGCATTCCCTTCACACACCACTCTTCACTTTTAGATTAATCTGCTGAAATGAGATGCTAAGGATTTGCATACAGATTTGACTACACAAAAATAGATATGGAATTAATAACAGTCTCTATATGTTTTAATTTCTCCTAGACTGGAGTACCCTTGCCTGCAGCGGTATTCTTGGCTTTGAAAGTCATCAAGCTGATTTGTCTCCTCTTAGGTTAGGATGCCACATGCTGCTACACTGTCCCCCGCAATCAAAGCACTTGCATAGATAGATTCCATGCCTGCCCCTAACAAGTATATTTTATAGATTGGCAGTTTTGATCTCCCTCCCCAGGGGGATAATCTGCATCTTAACAGCTTTCTATAGATACATCTGTCATTAAATATGCCATCTTGTATCAGCATCAATTTTCAAAACCAAGTTTTCCCTAACTTTGAAGTGCCACAGTTGAACTTGAGAATTTTCAACCAAAATTCAAAATGAACAGCCTCATCATATGCTCCTGAACTGTGACTTCAAAAAGAAAAATACTGCTGGCTACGGAAAGTCACTGAGGTCTTAAAGAACTGCCGGGAGAAATGAAAAGTTAACACACTGCCTAGAAGTGGGAAATGATTCCTATCACAGGACAAGACAACAGCAAGACATTTTCTTAAATTTCCCTGGCCCTAGTCTGCAAGAAACTCAATGATGAATGGATGCAACCCACCATAGAGAAGATAACAGGATGGTTAAAAACACCAAACAAACTCTGTCTACACTTTGGGATGCCCTCTCAAGAAGCTTAAGGCTATGACAAAGACAACAGCTAGTAAATACTTGTGTTGTAAAGAGCAAGGGATAGGGAAAGGAGAAAAACAGCATTCTCTGTCCTTTGCTCTCAGCGGGTCAAGTCTGTGGCTAATTTTTTTTTATAAAGATAATACTTTTATACTTGATAAACACTACACATTTCTTATGGACAAAGGTATTTTTTTTGTAGCCCACTGTGGCCACAAACGCTGAACCTATTTCCACTGAAATCCCCCCAGCCAATATAACTAAGGAAGCAGCCCTTGTGGAGATGGGCCCTGACAATCGGGCCTGTCCCTTCAGCAGCCACAGCTACTAACACCCGGAAGATAAAGTTATCCCCACCAGAGTCAAGTGGCTCAACATGAGGAATGAATACCATTTTATCAATGAAAATTATATTACAGAAGATGCATCATCATTGCCTGCTTTGCTGTGACACCCTAGGGACCATGGGCCCTTCTATTGATTTGCCATTGAAAATTAGAGGTGTTTTCTCCTCCTATTAGAATAGCTCCTTGAGAATCTCGTTTTCTGTTTGTATTCCCAGTAGTTAGCACAGTGCTTAGAACACAGCACTGGCCAATGAGTAGAACACATTCAGTAAATATGCATTAGCTCAATACATAAGTAAAATAAAATAAATTTATCAATCATTATACATTATATATTAGCAATTCTTAGGCTTAACAGTGTCTCATCCACATCAAAGTGTAAAAGCCTTCAGAACCATTACCAAGGAAAGCCACCAGTGTATTTACTAGGTACTCAATAAATACTTGTTGAATAAAAGGGGAAAGGAAATAATAAGATTTAACTTGGCATATTTCTGCTCTTCACATACTGCCTTGCATAGAAAGGGTATCCCAAAAGTCTTACTGCAGTTTTAAGCTTTAATAGCTGTACACAATGTACATACATACCACATATTCATATACATATTTTCATCTTTGTGTATTTTTTTTTGTTCTTTGTATCCTTTGTTGTTCAGTTTGTTGTCTGACTCTTTGTGACCCAAGAACCATATTGTCCAGGGGGTTTTCTTGGCAAGGATACTGGAGTGGTTTGGCATTTCCTTCTCTACTGGATTAAGGTAAACAGAGGTTAAATGAGTTGCCCAGAATCACACAGCTAGTAAGTGTTCGAGGCTGGATATCAATTCAGGTCTTCCTGATTCTAGGCCCAGTACTCTACCCACTGAGCCACTTAGCTGCCTACGCCTACCAAATAGTAAGTACGTCATAAATACTTGTTAATAACACAAAACACAAATACATACACACATACACACACACAATCATTTAATCAATAAGCATCAGTAAGTAACAACTTATTTCTAGGTCTGTACTAGGCTTTGCGGAGAAAAAGACAAAAGCATCTGGCCTTAAGGAGGGATCATGTGTATACACGTATGCATCCATACACAGAGTCCAGATCTGTGATTTCACAGATATGGGGAACTGGTAAGGAACTGCCCTCTGCCCATGTGGATCAGCAACTATTCTCCCCATTACAACCTGAGTTGCCTGGATGCCACTGACTTGCCCCAGGACACACAACCATTAAAATAGCTGTATTCTCTACCCCACGCTACTTTTCATGCTCATGTGTAAATACACCTACCCACATATAGAGCCAGTACAAGAGCATATCCCCTGACACTTTGGTGTGA